TCGCAGATGAGCGTTATTCAGCGAGTCCAGTCCACACCCTGTTTCTTTAATATCCATTCTAATATGATGATACGTGATCAAATTACCTGCGTTTACCCGATCTAAATGTTATATGTATTTGTCATTTCTGTCATGTTTGATACATTCCCGCCTGTTTGATGTAGCTAATTATTTTGTGACATTCGGAGAATAGGAAGATGACAGTTTTCTTGGTTGTAGCACCGCGTATTCTGGTAGAAGATTACTGACACTTCAGAGGTAGCAAGCATTCGCCCTGGAAACCCAAATATTACATCCTTCCATTCGAAGCTGCACGCATATAACTAATGCTGTTAAAAAAAAAAGCATCGAAAAAAAAGGCCTAGAATTTAAATCTCAGATTATAAGTAGTCGATTTTCCCCCAGAGATTTAAATTGTGCACCACTCAATTATTTTGGCATACCGTAACTTGACCGTTGTGAAATTTTTTAGAAGACGCGTACATCTGCAAAGAGACCGCTGATTTTTTCTTGTTTTCTAGGCCTATAATTTGTCAAGGACATGAAATGCATCTGCCCCGGAGGGTTTGAGGTCTGCATCTGTTGATTTTCTGCATTTGAAATCACGCAACCTTGAAGCACGTACAGCTTATTGAAGTGGCCTAAAAATGTGCTAATTGCTGAATTAACGGTATGCTATATAAAAGAGAGGCTGGTGGCGAAATAGAGTGGAACAAGCTGGCGTATAATAGACTAATGTACAGAGACCAGTGTCACCTCCAAGCCGTATGGAGAAGTAAGACAACGTCTAGCATATTTTACGTTGCCTGATATGATACAGAACTAAGTATGAGTCAAACTAATTCTCACACGGACGTGACAAAGATCAACACGCGCTTTAATACTTATTAGATGGCGACAGCGTCGCAGCTGACGTCATATGAACTAGACTTCATTAACAGGGCTCAAGGAAACAACATCGTATTCAGTAAAAGGCCTCAGGTATCGGTTGCTTACATATATACTTGCATTTACGCTCCGTCCCTTGCAAAATCGACTAAAGGAAGTCTGTCGTCAACATCGCTAATTCCATTGCTCGCCACGTGGCTCTGCCCTTGGCCAAGGCTATCGCATTTCTCATCCTCACAACGTATTTCCTCAAAATCCTTCTTAATGTTATCGTGATAGGCCTCTTTCCTTTTCTGTCCTCCCCACTTTTTTACCTGATGACGAAAGTAGAATCCAGCCTTTTCGAAACGTCCAAAACAACAGTGTTATACACCAGATTCATCTGATTCAGGAGTTAGTTCCAGCAATGTATTTTATGAACCCGGTAATGAACTTCAGTTTCCATAAAGCCGTGATTTTCTCAGTTATGGAAGTGTGTAATTAGTTACAGTTGCGTGCAGAAACACACTTCTGGGAATAATCACTTCCAGGGACCCCCTTTATTCATTTTTTCCCTGGTTATAATGGACATTGTTACACACACAAGGCCTTGAATTTTGACGGATTAATCTTGTGACGGAACAGTTATCCCCATTACGCGCTAATTGTAAACACCTTATGCTAAGACCGCGTAAGAAGTTTCATTTGTCAAGATGATCAGGTGGGTTTTTATGGCGAGAATCCATCCGACGAGGCGCCAGGGTAGGAACATAATGTGGGCGAATAGGTGAAGCAGATTGTACGAAAAAAGGACGGAACAACAGAGACAGACCTTAACCGTCATTAGTTACCACGTCCATAGTGATTCACTGACTCCGTTCTCTCTCTTTGCGACAACCTGAAAGCCATTCTCTTTGCCGAAGTGAACTAGGACAAGCCAGTTCAACGGGGAACTCGTGAATTAATCTGTGAATCTTGACGGCTATTTTGTGGGGGTTCAGCTATCGGGATCGCCCTGATGATGGAGGCAGTAAGGGCCTCTGAAACGTCGGGAAACTTCTACCAGACTACACGCGCAACAACTCAGAAGACAGCCATCTTCAGACTCGCCTCTGTGAAAACCTCAAATCCTACATTAATCATCGTATCATTTGACGGTGAAGTCTGAGCTGCTGATAGCGTCGTTAAATATACTTCATCACAAGTAAAAACCTTCTTCCTCCGTTTTTGCCCTTATTTCTTCGTTTATTCCATTGTCTTAATTTTTTCGTAACTTCGAATGTTTCTTTCCTTACTTTCTTTCATTCTCTCTTTCCTCACAAATCTTTGTCTAATTTGTACTTGTTATACATGGCACACACTACGGTACTTGGTTCAGCTTCATAGTTACGTCTGCCAGTGGGTAAACCCTGTGTAAGAAGTGTATCGTTTGGTTCGATTACCAATTGGTTTTGCACTGGAATTCTGAGTAACAGCTCCACAGAAGAAATATTTCCTCTTTGGAGCATGAAAGGTCTGTTAAGATGCCACGTCACGAATCTCATTATTAGTTGCATACAAGTAACCGTCAACTAGTAATACCTGGGATCTTTGAAGTGTAGTTCTTATCATGATCATGGCGTAGTCATCCGATGTGATATTGGCCACTCATTAGTTTTCTATTCTTGTTATGCAATCATATAGGCAGATTATCTGGTATGAGAAAATAGCAGCTATCTGACAACTTTTCGAGATCGTTGGAAAGGAGGATTTTAGTCGGGGTGGATTATTCTATTGCGAATCCAGACATTGATCTTTGATTTCTTGTGCGATTTCATTGTTGTTCAGTATTAGAGCGCTGTACCATCTGTTTTAATATTCAGTAACTCTAAATTTTGAACACAAGACAGCATTTACGGATGTCGTATGGTTCTAGGAATAAACAATTATTCTCCTAAATAACATTAACCAGTTGATCTTTGAAGATGACTGTTTCCTGGGATACTGCGCCATGTAGTTTCTGCAGATGTGCTTTCTGCCTTTATTTTCAGGGCTATGAGTAAGCCGCCTGTGGTTGAAGTCGGCAGAATAAGTATAAGACAAGAAAGTCTAAATGCAAATGTGAATTATGTTACATGAGCGAAGAGATAAGGAAATCAGATGGTAGAAGACCGATAACGCAGTGTTAAGCGAGCCCACTCTTCTGTAAAACGAACATATATTGTTACTAGGCAGTGAGTAGCATTTCTGATGAATTACCACGAAGTTTAAACAGATTGTCCTCAGTTATAACTCGGCGTTCATCGAGTATGTAAGGCAGGGCGAATGTAGTCCCACTTCGTTATAAGATTGGGAGCCCTAATTTATAGGTCTGTCTTAACACATCCTGTGCGCGCATCTACCATAATATGCGAAATTTAACTGTTCTGTTTGGTAACAAGTTGTCCATAATTTCCAGGAATAAATGTATGCGTCATAACTCTGAAGCTTGGTTTAACATTACGTAAAATGGAGGCTCGTGTCTCGTAATTGGAGGTTAAAATTGCTTGTCGGATCACAGAGTAATTTTTTACACTTCGGGTTTTTTGTATTCGAGTGTTCCATGAGGATGATAAGATTTTGCACTAGTCCATTGTGATGTGCCGTGCTTTAATGTAATTCCGTGTTGCAAGTGGCTTCTCGCGCCAAGCAAACTCTCGCACGGTTATCTTATTTGCGTAGTGCTATTACCAATGGAATGATCCGTACGATGAGGGTCTGCTTGGGGAATTCGTACAATCTGTTACCATTTATGCAAAATATTAGTGGGATGCCGAAAGGAAAGATAGGATAATATTAAAATGGATCTGAAAGAAACATGTTGATTTATCTGATTTACTGGCCAGAGATTTATTACCGAACCGTAGGTCTGGGAGAGGCGAGTGTCATGACAAGGGATGACCATGCTTAGGTCAAGGTCTTGCCAAGGTTACATCAATGTCAGGTTAACCCTCTGCGTAGTAGAGGCATTTTAAATCTCGAGGACAAGTGGATATGCGGCTTCTTGCCGAATCGTATGCCTGGGAGAGAGGCAATGATGAACCAATGAGTTTCATAAACTGCAGGAAATGTCTTGACCAGTTGATCAAATATCAGGTTGTGAGGGATCTTCCCCAGGAGTTAGTAATGTTATGACATTTCATTAGAACCGCATTTGATAATAATTTTTACCGTAAGGCCAGCTGTAATTCGGACTCTGGATTTTAAAACTTTTGCGTTCACAGTTGGGTTTGAATACGACTAGAAAATTTGCACCAATTTGAATCTCATGTGTTTTCCGAATTTGTTACCTGACCTTAGTCATGACCTGAAAAAACAACAAATAAATTTAAAACGCTTGACTCGTATTCTTTCTTCTTTCTTTCTTTCTTTCTTTCTTTCTTTCTTTCTTTTTTTTTTTGTATAGGCGTAGTGGCGTGATCCTAAATCTCGTTGTTCGTCCGTATCGTGTAATTGTACACCGAGTCCACCCATCTGCCCTTCCGTCACATTAAACCGCTTCGAACCCCTTGTGTCTTCGGCAACTTCTCTGGCACGTGTACAGTGCGTGTAGTCTGCTCTTGTAGCTGCTGTAAATGATAACGACACATTTTTAAAATGCGTAATTTAGACCAAATTAGGCACTCTAGAGGATTGAGAAGACATTTTTTTGAAGATACGTTCGGTGCATATTCTTTGACAGCAGGCCGTTAAAATCTTCAGTGTGTGTCGTTTATGGAGTTATCGAGATTATTTCGTCTTTCGTTATTTCTTTAATTGTTTGCTTAAAGATACAAATGCCGATTTAAGAATGAGAAGATAACATTAACTTCGATTTTGGAAGGATCCGGCAGGAATTGGCTGTGACATTCTTCAAGGTTATGGATACCGAGATAACTGAGGAAGATCACGAAATGTGCATGGCAGTATTGCAGTCATGTCGGTAGAATTTCAAACCCTGGAGCCTCCCGATAGCATGCAGCGTGGAAAATAAGGAGAGAGCGAGAAGGGAAATGATGTAAGGAATAATAAAACATGGAAAAGAAAAAAGAAACAGATGCAATAAAAACTGCACTCAAGTG